AGTGATTCTGTCAATGGAATTCTCTAAACACTTTTTACTTTCAGTAAGATCGAACGAGCATGAAGGAATTTAAAGTCACTAAAATAGGCATTAAGGCAATCCCACTTATAAAGGGGGAGTTGTGAAGATATATTCAAACTTTCAATAAAATGAGTCATCTCACCCAACTTTACAGAAATATCTTATACTTTATTTGTGCCTACAATATAAAGTCTTCCTCTCCACCCATCGGTTCTTTACAATCAGGAATGCAATTGCCTGCCAAGGTCTGTGTTTTCCCATGTCACATTAGTAGCACATTTTTCCAAGAACTAACTCAGTAAGAAACTTTTATCATTATCTATAACATAGCTGCGTTTTTTATTTATATTTAGAACCAGCAATCCTAAACTACCTGCTGGCAGAAAAATTAAGCAACAGGCAATCAAAGCAGTAAGGAAATTCATTTATAATCACAATCAGAAAAGTTTGCTGTTAAATGTTTAACAAAAGCATGTTCCTATTCCTTCAATGAAGAAAGAAACTGTCCAATTACAGCACCTTATACCAGGGCGTCTGCCAGTAGGAAGCTCAGAAAAAAATAATTTTAACCAAACACACCTACATCAAGCCCATGACTTGCCCCTAGATAGTTCTTAGCTATACGCATATAAGAAAAATTCATTTTCTTCAATACAACACATTGAAATATATGCAAAATGCTCTCCTTTCCGCCCGCCCAAAAAATTACAGCTATGATAGCTGATGACAAAGATAAGATAAAATGACTGGAAGCACAAATAGCATTGTTGCGTAGCAACTGTTGATGTACATATGGTGATGTTTATGGAACAGAATGTAGTTCATATTTAATGCAGAAATAATACTGAAACCAGCCTAGACAGCAAGACCTAGACAGCAAGAGACGACTGTGCTTTGGATCCCTCTGCAGTCATCACAGAAGCCACACTTCCCGCCAGCTTTGCTAAACTGATGTTCAGGAACACCACCACAGGCCTTAGTGATTTGCCCAGCAATGAAGACGACACAATGTCTCGCATGTGCGAACAGCCTGGCAAAGGAAGAAGGGAGGTATTTTGCAACTAGTACTTTCGGAGTGCATTGTACTACTCTGTATTACTCATTAGAGCTATTTCAAAATACAGAAATAAGAAAAGAAAAGAAACAGGAGAAACCCCAGAGTGAGCCTAAACAGAAAGTATACCACGTGTGAAAGCCAGCGTAGACCAGATTTTTAATAGTATCTGGGATGGGATCCACTTTATCCAGCTTTCTATTAGAACAGAGTTGAATTTGTGTTTGAATTTATGTATTAGCTGTATCCAACACACAGAACAGAACAGAATAGAACAGAATATTTCAGTTGGAAGGGACCTACGATGATCATCCAGTCCAACTGCCTGACCAGTTCAGGGCTGACCAAAGTTAACACATGTTGTTTAGGGCATTGTCCAAATGCCCATTAAAGACTGACAGGCTTGGGGCATCAACCACCTCTCTAGGAAGCCTGTTCCAGTGGTTGACCACTCTCTCAGTAAAGAAATCCTTCCTAATGCCCAGTTTAAACCTCCCCGGTGCATCTTTCAACCATTCCCACGTGTCCTACCACTGGATACTTGGGAGAAGACACCAGCACCTCCCTTTCTGCTTCCGCTCTCAGGAGGCTGCAGAGAGCAATGAGGTCGCCCCTCAGCCTCCTTTTCTCCAAACCAGACAAACCCACATTTTATATTAGCTCAGATCTAGTACACACACTGCATTAAGACCAAGAAACTGCAATTCATTAGACTTTGGACATAACAAATGGCACCTCAGAAGATCCTGCTGCTGTCCATTAACTCATATGGGACCACCAGAGACGCAGAGGTTTACAATGTAAGAACTAAAGGATTTCTTCCAACTAGAACAGGTATTAGAAGCAAGTTTAGTTAAGACAAAACAAAACAAAAAACCCAGAAAAAACATTCAGAAGTCTAGAAATTACATTATGCAGAAAATATTAAATTACTTGTCAAGTCTGATCTCTTCTGCTTGCTCTAAGTGACCTGACGAGTCAATGTGAAGTGCAGAACTACCCAGAATATGTAAACTCCCTGCAGCATCTTCCAAGATTACAAAATATTTCAGAGGCAGCTTTGTCATTCCTCATTCATTTTCTGAAAGACCATCAAAAAGATGGTCATTACAATGTAAGGATCCCAGAATTAGAGGACAGAACACAGAATAGATCTTAGGGCTTTTAAAGTGCTCCAGAAAAATAATAAAAATAAAATTAAAAAAAAAAAACCCACACACAAAACCCCACAACAAAACCCACCCTTTATAAAAGAAACCCAACTGTTTTATGCAATTTGCTCCACTTTAAATAAGTTCAGTCCTCAAGAAAGGTACTGACAGAGAGCAATATTGCATGAAGCACTTTATTAATATTTCATTCGCGTAATTCCTCAAATGCATCCTTCCAGATGCAACATTAGAAATGCCATCTGCAGTTCCACAACAGCTTAATCTTTGGCCCATGGTTCAAACCAGAATATTGATTCTGTTACATGGTGCACTTTGCAAAAGAAAAAGGAACAAGATCACCAATGCTTTTCACAAAAATATGCTAATTATGATTTGAAGACAAATATTGGTCTGTGACCATAAGAACGAATGAATTTCATTTTCCTATGACTGCCTCTTACTTGCAGACTGACTGATGTGCAAAGTTCTCTAAGCTCTTATTGAGTCTTTTTCCATGGTTGATGTAATTATAGTGTTTTTTTCCATCTGGACTTTCTGGCATCAAATAGGGTAACAGCCTTTCTTTCAGTTGGGGTATCCATATAGTTCCGTTCCACTCTTCAGACACCTGTTTTCACCTAGCCAAAATTCACTACAAAGTTTGTTGAAATTGGTTCTGGAGCTCAAAACATACTGGTGATACACATTCAAACACAAGAGTGTGGCTGCAGGAACATGGTGTCTGTAAGAAATCTGCCTGCAATTTGGAATATTTGTGTCACATTCATCTTTACAACCAAAAAAAGTCATACACAAAAAGCACATTAAAGTTTATTTTTGATTGTACTGCCAACACCAGCTTTAACACAACAGCAACACATTTTAGCCATTTTTCGTTTAAGTGAGTTTCATGAAAACTCACTGACTGCGTGTTATGCTTGCTAATCTCAAGCAAAAACAACTTTGACAGGGTTTATGCTTATTCAGTGCTTCACTCCAAACATTTCTCATTTCACTAACTACCCTTTGCTCCCGATTAATATAATAACTTCTACTCAATAGATCCATGGTCCTTGAATAACATTTTGTAGTTGTTAAGAAATGCCAAATTTTTAATTGATTAAATAAAAACGGGACAGCTTCTAAGTACCTAAAGGTTTCAAGACACTGGTATTACAGATGGTAAAACAGAAATAAATGGGCATCTTCTTGCTATCACATTCTAATGACTTCCATTCTAACTGATGATAAATGCTCCACATTCAAGTTAAGCATCTGCACTCACTGCAGCTTAAGTTACCATTAGAGGTTTTTGAAGGAATATTTTATATAAAAAGGTGTCTCGGGAAGCAAAATCCCATGGGATTTGCAGCAAACATGCACAAATCACTGAAAGTATACTCTAAACGCATCTTCGCATCTGAAATCTCTCTTCTGTCCAGCATTCTGAGGTTGAGGCACAGAGAAACGAAAAAGGATGAGGTACTACTAAAACGCTTACAACATTCTTGCAAACTTGCTCCCTACCTCTTTCCACATTTGTAACCTAGGTATTATAAACCCCAGTATTTTTAAAGTGTTGCAAGTCACACACATGAAAATATAATAGGGTTTTTTAAGCGAAAAACCAATATCATGACTACATTATCTTCAGAGAAAGGGATAACTGAAAAGTGCCCAAGTTGTACTCTAAGAGCCTGTATTTCTAAACACAACTGTGACAGTCAAGCTACTTGTACCTTGATATCTCAATGCTCAGCCACTAAACCTTTAAATAGATTTTAAAAAGGAGGTGATCGAACTTACTGAGTATTCTAACTCTGTACTGTGAGTTACAATTCTCCCTCCCTCATTTATTCGATAAAGCATTACACTGCCATCACAGCAATTACTTGCCAGCCTATGAACATCAAAACATCAGCTGCTGGTAACACTGTAGTTTTCTGCTCCACAGAAGGCAGAGGTATGAAAAAAAAAAAAAAAAATTACTCTTGCTCATCTTCTGGGGACTTCAAAACCTAAGTGCATGAAACCGAGATACCCTCTGCAGACAATGAGATGCTCTGCAGACACCTTCCTTCTCTCTCTAACATCCAGAACATGACTATGTAGTCTCAGTAGAAAACCTTACAGTACATGGGAGTTAGATGCAAGGCAGTCTGCTGAACTCACTGTACAGTGTAACACTACCATGTATCTTAAGTCTAACATGCAATTTAGGACATATGATCTTGAATATCCTGATCACTCATACAGCTACAAAGCTGAACTTAAAGCAGGCCAAACAGCTGAAATCCAGTGAGAAAAATTATAACCTTACTGCTGCACTGTTTGGTATTATCACCTTATTAAGCTTTAATACACTTAAACCATATATACACTTCAAGAAAATGTGGTGAACAGATGTCTTTATTGCTAAAATGGACCTGTTCAACTGGACAGAGGAAGAACCAGCATTCTTATAAAACTGTATCAACAGCAGAGACCCATTCAAGGAGAAAAAAAAATATTAGTTGATTGCAAAAGTCCATAGGAAAATACAATTTTTTTTCCGGTGAATACCCTAAAAAGGAATGCACGATGTACTGCACTCCACGTTCTCTTTGTTCTCTTCCGCAGACCCACAGCTGAAATGTACATGATAAACCTACGTGGAGAACTTAAATTAGTTGCTCAATGATATGAAGAGACAGACACAAGAACAGAACAACAGTGATAAGTATGCAGATAACAACAAAACAGAGCCAAAATCTGTCTTCTGAGTCTACTGGCCTTTACAGCAGCCAGTTTATTGAAATCATGTATACTGGAATCGTAACAAGTAACTTTAATTCTAACTTACCTACTGAACTTTCTGTGAACACTGTTAAGGTCTGTCCTCCCACACTTTGCAAAAGAAACGGATGTTCCCTTGGTGCACTGACTGAAGCAGGTTTTCCTCCAATATCATTGATGCTTGCAAGCTCTTCATTCAAAGTAAATGACACCTAACAGTCACAATTACCACAGTGTTACTAAACAGACTAAATTACGCAGCTTTAAGAGTTATGGGGAAACAAAAACAGAGAAAAACCAAGTAGTATAACACTTTTCCATTTCAAATACATAGAAAGTGGGATAAGAGTCTTAATATATTGATCTCTTGTTGAAATACAGAATTCAAAGCTTTCATGTACTTCATAAAATTTACTCATCTTTTAAAAATTGTAAATTACTTCCTCCTGAAGTCAGAGAACAATTTGATTTTACTTATTAAAATGTAAAGCATAATAGATTTTCAGACACTGTTCAGTATGAGTGCTTTAAAATGTTTCACACAACCAGCTGAGTTCCAGAGAAAGTGCTAATGTACCAGGACAAGGGGTATTAGCCTGAGGACTCCTGAATTGCATGCAGCCCAGGAGAGGTTCAAATACAGCTCCTTTGCTATGTTTACATCGTATGCCCAATACAGGAGCTGAGGAGGTACTGGGGGGACTGGGTAACCAGAATCCCTAGCTACAGGACACAGCAAGAAACCTGTAAAGGGACTGCTCAGACCCGCACTGCATACTTTTCCTGTACGTCCTGCTTAGCCTCATTCTGCCATGCAGCAACAGGGTCCCCAGGAAGCCACCCATTCTCATGGCGTTCCTCACCGCTTGGCTCTACACAGACTGCAAAATGGCTCTCACTAATATCAAGATTTTGGTGTGGGGCTCAAAATTAGGGAGGTTGGCTCGTATTCCAGCCTAGGAGAGTCTAATCAAACATCCAAACCTCCAGTAGAACTCTCTCCACTTACTCTAAAAGGAGTTTGGCCATGTTATCAAATGGCAAACGCAGCTTGCTTTGTTTGCTCCCATTTTTTCGTCCAGCGTTTCTTCCAATTCAGTGACAGACCTACGTAGTATTTGAAGTAATTCTAACTAATGGAACTTTCCTTATCTCTTGTAAAAGATACGGGAAGTTACTGTCATTCACTGAGGCTGCTAACAAATGCTGTTACCTTTGCATACAGAAAAACCTTCAAGTTGCTTTATATTTAGTAGGACCAAATTCCAAATTTAAGACAGCATACTTTCTGAAATTGCAACCCTCCACCTCCAACTTCTTTTGCTTCATCATCACCCTCCTTAGTTCTCAGACAGCCTTTTGCACTAACACATCTCCAAATGCAAACATTAGAGAAGGTTGCTACTATGATTGCTGCTTACAGATGCATAAACAAACTTAGGGAACGAAGAGACTTGATGTAAGTCCCACAATAAATGTATGGGCAGAGCTACAAACAGAATTCTTTCCTCCTGATTCTGTGGTACAATGCTTCATTACAGGTGTAACAAAAAATTATATGATGCTAGAAACCAGCATGTTCTACACAATTTTTAGAATTTAAAATATAACACATTCACAGCCTTTGTATTTAGTAATTACTTACTTCTGTTCTTCCTTGATTTCTGCAAAAGAAAATATTTAATGTTTTAGTTTCCATAATCTAAATCCACAAGTTTAGCTTCCCTGATAAAAAAGCAAATTAAAATTCTAGTTTTCTTCACTCCTGAGCTGCTCAATTTTTTTTATGCTGATGCCCAAGAATAAATGGGAAAAGTCAGCAGGTGAGAACAGAAGCAGCAAAATAGCACAGAAGTAAGTTAAAGAACATTCTCCAGTTAGATGTGCATATTTCTTGGGTTTAAGAAATCAAACATCATTTAATGGGATACAGCCACTCCCCAGCATAATTTCATATCATTTATGTATTGATAATCACTATACAAGCAAGTACCTTTCAAGTTTCAGAGAAATATGCACAGTGTTTGCAAGAAACAGGATTACGTATTATAAGAGGTGCGACGTAATCTATTTTACTGCAGGCAGCTTCTAAGAATTGCAACCAATAAAGGTACAGTAAAGGCTTACTTGGCAATCCTTAGTTTTCCCACTTCACCCCTTCCTGAAGCTTTATTCCACTGTTGTGACAAGTATTTGGGGACCTAAAAAAAGAAGACAGACGTCAAGAAATGCAGATTTTAAAATTCTATATAAATTGTATACTTGTATATACTTTAAATGCATTTACCATGACCACTTCAGAATACAGTACGATCTAAATATAATAGACAATATATTCTATTAGGGAGAGCAAACAGAACAACGTAGCACAAAAATAAGGCCAGTGGAGAGTCCCAAAGTTCCTGAATGAGGGAAAAATCTTATACTACCTTTAATCTCAAATACTATTATCCAATCATGAAAGGCAAAAAGAGATCAGCATCATATTGTTAAACTAAGGAGTCCAAAGAATTTTATTAAGTAATACTATACTTCTAAATATTTATCAGAAACTCTCATCTCTCTACGAATTTAAAAAAACCCAAACAAACAAATAAAACAACGATGAGAAGTTAGGCAATAACAACTCGGAGACCAAAAGGTGCTGTGGAGGGAAGGCGTAGCATTTGGGAACCTCGGAAATATTCAGCAGCAAACTGTAGCCCTACTCCCACCAGACGCCCACTTCTTCAGCAGCAGAACTACCCTACGCAGGTCTGCCTCCCAGCACTCATTCCCACCCCTCCACTCTACTGAGAAAGGTCTTTGTGCAACTGGTCAGTATACGGAAAGAGCAAACTGATCTGTCTGGGAGGCATAGGGGCCTTCTACATTTTAGCTGTGCTGGTTTTATATTTAGCACGTGGAAGAACCAAACCAGGTTCCCAACCCATTTCCCTGAACAACTGCACAAAGCAAAGGTCAGTGCAGGGACAGGAGCAAGCAGCCCTGCTTAACCTGATACATCCAAGGAATAAAAGCTGCTCCAGTGATGCTGACTCACCTACACACACATTCCTCCAGTTACAAAGGGTTTGGAATCTGCAACCTCAGGCGGCCTGGGCTTATGATGGACAGTAAAGGCACGTACGTAACCAACCAACAAGCTGGAAGCTGGCTTTCCAAGTAGACTCGTTTCTCCTCTTTTCCCATCAGTAGCTGAAATCACAGCCTGCCTCTCCACTCTCTGGCCAAAAAAGTACCAGCTAACTACTGCCAGGTAAACTAGACCCCAACAGCTGGCACTTCCATGGCCAGCCTTAACACCTTGCCTCTGCTGCACTGCACACCCACGCTGTTCAGGCTCCCAGATGTGTCCCAGATGTGACAATGCATGCACGTTTGTGTGCAGCAGCAACAGCACTTCTTTTTTCTGGAGAGAGTAATGCCAGGAGAAGGCATCCAGTTCTCAGCAGAGTTACCCCAGTACTTCCTAAAGACCAGACAAGCTTAGAGAACATTTCTTCCCTATCCGTCTGTGACGTTACTCATTACTTTATAGACGTCTGTAAGATTTCCAAATCAACCATCTTGCCAGCCTGAAAAGTAACAATGTAATTTAGGAGTTTCCTCCACAGCCACCATTCCTTGTTCCCCAGATCATCTCTGGTGCTCTTCTCTGAATTGTTTTTAGGTCTACTGTATACCTTCCACGATGGAGGACAAGACCAGAACTACACACAGTATTCAGGATACAGGCAATATGGTGGTGTAATAATATTTTCTCTTTTTTTCTCTGTATCTTTTATAATCACGTGCAATGTTGAATCTGCTCTTTTGACATGATACTCTCACAGATACCCACATCTACTGTGAAACTAAACCTCCTTTCTAATGACAACAGCCAGCAGAGACCAAATCGCAGTATAAGTATTAGGATAATTTTTCTCTGTGTGCATCAGATTAGATTTTTCGACTCTGAATTTCATCTGCCATTTTATCATCCTGTCACTCAGTACCATGATACGCTTCTGCAGTTTCCTGCTGTCAACTTTCATTTTTACTGTCCTGGATAAGCTAGTACAATTAGAACACTACACAGTTTTCGGTAAGGTTTTATGAAAGCAGACATCAAGTGTCAGTACGAAAGAGGAAGCCAGAAGCAGCGACCTACCCACCACCAGACTTGCTTTGCTGTGCAGAACTTCTGAAATTCCCCACCATTTTCAAGTGCCACAATAAGATGTTTTGTTAGCTGAAGTATAATGGTGTCACATGCCCTGACCACCTAGGACCAGTATTTGGGTACTGGCCCTGTCCCCAGAGGCTTTCAAGTTGATGGTCTGAGCCTGATCTCAGTCCCCAAAGGAAGAATCATAGAATCGTTTAGGTTGGAAAAGACCTTTAAGATCATCCAGTCCAACCATTAACCTACACTACCAAGTCTACTCTAAGCCAATCAAGGGTAGACTAGACTAAAGAAAAGGAGGCCGCTGCTGTTTCTCCCCAGACAGAACAAATGCAGGTCTAGAGAAACGGGGGCACATCCACAGGGGACTAGAAGGGGGCCAGGGCACATAATCCCCCACTGGCTGGGAGTCTCCTCTTTCCTGAGCCAATCCTTGCTGTTGCCAGAAGCAGCCAAGCCGTTTTGGTAGAAAGCCCCTCCACGGAACGGAGCCGACGGGCAGGCAGCGGCGGCCCAGTTAGCAGCAGCAGCCAGGAGCGCGGCCCCGCACCACACAGGTGCTTGGGTTTGATTTGATGCTCTTTACACCTTTTCACAGTGCCTCCGTTACCGCCGCGCTGTTCGAGCACGAAGGTGAGCTGCAGTGACAAGACACGGGCGCTCATTTTCCTTATTGTCTTTGTCAACAGTGACGTGAACCTGGAAGCACTCAAACTTTCTCAGGCACTCGGAGTTCTGGGAAAATAAAAGTTATGCCGCCAGGTCTGTCACCCCTAGCAAAGCACGAGCCAAGGACAGCTCCCAGGTAACCCAATTTTCCCTGTTTTGCTTCGTTTACCCCAGCAGCCCCCGCGCCGACGAGG